ATACGCACCGCCTTATACACACGGCCTTATATACGCCGTCTTAGATACGCGTGGCCTTATATACGCCGCTTTATACACGCGTGACCTTCTATACGCGTGGCCTTATATACGCATTATATTGTGGCCTTATATACACATTATATTGTGGCCTTATACACGTATCATATTGTAGCCTTATATACGCCCTATAATACGCCCTATATTGTAGCCTTATATACACCTTATATACGATTTATATAGTGGCCTTATATACGCATTATATTGTAGCCTTATATACGCCCTATATTGTAGCCTTATATACACCTTATATTGTAGCCTTATATACGCCCTATATTGTAGCCTTATATACGATTTATATAGTGGCCTTATATACGCATTATATTGTAGCCTTATATACGCCTTATATTGTGGCCTTATATACGATTTATATTGTGGCCTTATATACGCATTATATTGTAGCCTTATATACACCTTATATACGATTTATATAGTGGCCTTATATACGCATTATATTGTGGCCTTATACACGCATTATATTGTGGCCTTATATACGCATTATATTGTGGCCTTATATACGCCTTATATTGTGGCCTTATATACGCCGCCTTATCTACGCGCTGCCTTATATACGCGGCCTATATACGCGTGGCCTTTATATACGCACCGTGTTACATATGCGCCGCCTTAAATACGCCTTATATACGCATTATATTATGGCCTATATGAAGCCGCGTATAGTCTCAATCAAAAATCAACCCAAAAATCGTATCCAATCAACGAAAAATCGTTTTCCTTGAGAATATATAATAAACTACTGTAAAAGATTGAAAAAAGATTGAAAAAAGATTGAGAAAACAAATTAGAGTTTCAATTGCAACAAATTAGAGTTGAAAAAACAATTGCATACCAATTGTTGTGTATTTTTATAGCTAAAAACTTTTCTTCTTTTTAGTTTTGTTAAGCCCAATAAATGAAAGGAGGCGCCCAATAAATGAATTAAGGGTTTTTTTTAAGGAAAAGAAAGAACAATGACCTAATCGATGATTCATTTTTCCGATTTCCCATCTTTTTCTTTGTCCTTTCTTCTGCCATTTTCCTAGTCTACTCATTTAAAAATCAAATCTCTTACCAAAAAAAAAAATACAAAACATTATCGCCGATCTTTGCTATTTCTCTTTTTTCTTTGACTTTCATTTAGATCTTTTGCTTTGTAGGCTTTGTAAATGGCCTTAAATGAAGAAATTCAGCCAGAAATTTGCATCTCTAGGGTTTTTGAGGTCGGCGAATCGATTGGCGCTATTCATTTGATTTCATCTACAGATGTAAAAGAGCTATTTCACTCAAAAACTCACCCAACGCCTTCAATAATCATTTCAATTCAAAATTGCTTTGCATTATTTTATAGAGGAGATTTAGGGCTTTCGAGTTGAGAGTAGTTGAGAAAAAATTGCAGGCTGAGGCTTAGAGCTAAATAGACTTAGAAAGAGCTTCTTAGAGCTAAATAGACTTAGAAAGAGCTTCTTAGAGCTAAATAGACTTAGAAACAGCTTCTTAGAGCTAAATAGACTTAGAAAGAGCTTCTTGGAGCTAAATAGACTCAGAAAGAGCTTCTTAGAGCTAAATAGACTTAGAAAGAGCTTCTTAGAGCTTCTTAGAGCTAAATAGACTTCGAAAAATAGGTTTAGAGCGCTATTTTTATGCTTACCGCCCTAAAAGAGTACTCCTTCAAAACCTCTTTAATGAACGATATTTAAAAGATAAATTTCTTCGTCTAGACATCACATAATTAAACTTTTTTTTTCGTCAAGCTCTCATATTTCTTTTCTTTTTCTTTTTCTCATCCATTCAATTTTTTTGTTTATAAAACAGCTAAATGGATTGAAAATTTGCGAAAAAATGAGAAAAAAGCAAGCTTTCTTTGATCTTTTCAATATTTTTTGTAAAATTACATCCATTTTCTTACAAAATCTTTTCTTTTGATGATGTTTGATGTCCCAAATTAGCCACTATTTACAGTTTTACAAAAAAACTGTTTCTTTTTCAAGTTTTTCTATTGTTTTCCTATTGTTTGAGTGTAGTTTGTGCTGAAATCTTTGTAAATGAATCCTTGCACGAAAATCTCCATTTTTTTTGTGATTGGTTTACACTTCGATAATCAGCTTTTCAATCCATCTAAGCGAATTCTTGAATTTGATGCAGCAATTCGATGCTCAAGTTTGATCCAATACGGTTCCAATACGGTTCCTATTTTGAGCTGATACGGTTCCAATACGGCTCCTATTTTGATCTAATGCGGTTCCAATACAGTTCCAATACAGTTCCAATACGGTTCCTTTTTTGATCTAATACGGTTCCAATACGCTTCCTTTTTTGATCCAATACGGTTCCAATACGGTTCCCATTTTGAGCTGATACGGTTCCAATACGGTTCCGATTTTGAGCTGATACGGTTTCACGGTTCCATACGCTTCATTTTGTCAATACGGTTCTATACGGTTCCTTTGATCTATACGGTTCCATACGCTCCTGTCCAATACGGTTCCAAACGGTTCCTTTTTGGCTGTCGGTCCAATACGGTTCCTATTTTGAGCTGATACGGTTCCATTACGGTTCCAATACGCTTCCTATTTTGATCCAATACAGTTCCAATACGGTTCCTATTTTGAGCTGATACGGTTCCAATACGGTTCCGATTTTGAGCTGATACGGTTTCATTACGGTTCCAATACGCTTCCTATTTTGATCTAATACGGTTCTAATACGGTTCCTATTCTGATCTAATACGGTTCCAATACGGTTCCAATACGGTTAATTCAAATTCAAAATTTAATTCAAACTTTTAAGCAAACGTTGGTGGCCAGAAAGGGTGCGTTTAGGTGAGCACAAGGCACATAAAAAAGTCACTTAATTGCAAAATCGCGACCTTTTTCAGAGAAAATCCTGGGTTGGTGCTTTAAAGCGTGGTAAAACTACCGTACCCCTCCTAATTTGCATCTATAAAAGAGCGCGAAATTTCATTTTATTCTTTTTGAAGTTTGCATGAAAACAAGTAGAGTAACAAGCAAGAAAAAAACAATTTATTAAAATACTTGATTGGAAATCAGGAGTGTTTCATTTTAATTTAGAGAGGACGAATATTTTAATCGCAACCAAAGTACTATTGAATTTTGTGTCTTAAATTTGACAAAAAGCAGTTCAAATCTACTATTCATTTACCTGATAATGTGATTGCTGACTGAAATCTTGTCCTTTTCACTGGCCACTGGCAGGTGAATTGGGTGGGCAACTTAAAAAGTTCCAAAAGCAAAGCTCCCGCCATAGAAAATGATAAAAACCACTTAACTTAACAAAGAAAATGATAGAAACCACTTAACTTAATAGAGAATGATGAAAGCCATTTAACTTAACAGGGAACGATAGAAACCAGTTATCTTACCATAGAAAATGATAAAAACCACTAAACTTAACCGGGAATGAAATGATAAAAACCACTAAACTTAACAAAGAAAATGATAAAAACCACTTAACTTAACATTTGTTGGCATCAAGTCCGTGAAGCAGATCACCAGGAAGCAACTGGGCCTAAAAAAACTCTAAAAACAAAGCTTCCACCAGAGAAAATGATAAAAATCACTTAACTCAACATAGAAAATGATAAAAACCACTTAACTTAACATTTGTTGGCATCAAGTCCGTGAAGCAGATCACCAGGAAGCAACTGGGCCTAAAAAAACTCTACAAACAAAGCTTCCACCAGAGAAAATGATAAAAATCACTTAACTCAACATAGAAAATGATAAAAACCACTTAACTACATTTGTTGGCATCAAGTCCGTGAAGCAGATCACCAGGAAGCAACTGGGCCTAAAAACTCTACAAACAAAGCTTCCACCAGAGAAAATGATAAAAATCACTTAACTCAACATAGAAAATGATAAAAACCAGTTAGTTTAGCATAGAAATGATAAGAACCACTTAACCTAACATAGAAAATGATAGGAACTACTTATCTTAACATAGAAAATGATAAAAACCACTTAACCTAACATTAGTTGGCATCAAGTTCGTGGAGCAGATCGCTGGGAAGCAAGTGGGACTAAAAAAACTCTACAAACAAAGCTTCTGTCACAGAAAATGCTATTAAAAACGTAACTTAGCTTTATCCTCTTTGTTTCATGCAAAAACAAACGCGATCACATCAGAAAAGCGTAAAAAGAATAAAATGAAATGAACAAAAATGAAAAAAATTAAATTTCGTGCTGTCTTATCTAGGAGGGGTACGGTAGTTTTACCACGCTTTAAAGCATCAAGCCAGGATTTTCTCTGAAAAGGTCGCAAGTGATTTCATTTCATTTCTCAACTTTTTCCCTATTAAAGTACATTATATCTAATTTAGATGAAAGCAAAAAGTACAAAGTTTACAGTAAATCTTTGTCCTAAGTATATTAGGCGTTAAATTGTAGTAAATATCAGTGTACTATGTAATTTTGGTGTACTTTGTACTCTTGAGTAGTCTATTCAGCCGTTACGTTATCCTAAATCTCTTTTTGTCTATTTTCTTCTTGTTTTTTTCTAAGCTTACAATTAAAAACCCTCATCCAATCATCAATAATCGCAAAACTTTGCCTTTTATTTTCTCAAATTTTCCGAATAACTCTCAAAATCCCATTTCCCTTTTAGAAATGAAACCGCCTCGACTCGAAATCGCCGAAAATTCTCTCAGAATTTTGCTCATTCTTTTCATTTTTCCCATTTTCGTCTTTACAAATCCAAAAATCGACGCAATTTTTGATGAAGAAGGGCTAATATTCAAGAAAATTCAAAATCTCACCTCAAAACCAATCTCAGCCCCAAAAGCTTCCGTCATTCAAACGTCAGCCGAACTTTTAACCACGTCAAAGCAAGATTTTCTCGAGATAATCACTGAAAAATTGAAGCCAGCTAGTGGGAAAACGGAGAATCTCGCTAAAAATTGGCGTCAAACCCCAAAAATCTCGACAATGACGAAACGGCGTGAAAAAAGAAGTGTGCAGAGGAAATCGATTGTCGATCTCAAGCGAAACCCTCTGAAATCAAAGCATGACGTCCAGGATTCACAAAAAGCTCAAAATCTTTTGGAAAACTCAAAAAAGCGCCGTAAAAGAAGCGTGAACTTGATCGAGATCGTGACAAAAAACGAGACGACAACGTTGCCGAAAGAGACCGAAGAGGAGCCGGGCATTCAGCAATTTCCCGTCTATGAGGACGATTTGGAAATTCGGAGGAGGAGATCGAGCGAAGAAAATAGAGAACAACAGTTGGAGATTCCGGTTGAGGTGTTGGAAGTGGACGAATTGAATGGGAATGGGAATGGGGATGGAAATGGGAATGGGGATGGAAATGGGAATGGGAATGGGGATGGAAATGGAAATGGAAATGGGAATGGGAATGGGAATGGAAATGGAAATGAAAATGAAAATGGAAATGGGCAAGATTCTCCACAAAATGTTGAGGTGAAGATGAATTTCTTTTTTTTCTTTTTCAGGGCGCTATTCAAGAGTTGAAAATCATGGACGACGCGGCCGAGGCGGCGAAACAATGCGATGAGCGATGGGTAGAGGAATTGAGAATTTGAAGATTGAAAAAGATTGAAACTTTTGAATTTTGAACTTTGAACTTTGAAGATTGAACCTGCGGCTACGCTAGATTTAGCTTACTGTGGCTATGGGTTACGGTATTTACATAAATGCCTGAGTTACGAGCATCAAGTTAGAGCAACAAGTTAGAGCATCAAGCTTAGTTCAATTTTTTGAAAGAAAAACCACATTTAACCGCTTCCGGAATAATTTTATGAGCAATTGAGAAATGAAATATAAAATAGCAAAAGAAGTAAACTAAACAAAAACTAAACTTTCCAAAGAACAAAGCAATAATCAATTGAGCCTCCCGAACTCTTGAATGACTTGAAAGACTTGAAAATCACTTGAAAATCGCTGAATCACTTCGATGAATCACTTCGATGAATCACTTCGTTGAATCACTTCGATGAATCACTTCGATCAATCACTTCGATGAATCACTTCGATCAATCACTTCGATCAATCACTTCGATCAATCACTTCGCTGAATCACTTCGTTGAATCACTTCGATCAATCACTTCGATCAATCACTTCGTCAATCACTTCGATCAATCACTCGCTGAATCACTCGTTGAATCACTTCGATCATCACTTCGATCAATCACTCGTCAATCACTTCGATCAATCACTTCGCTGAATCACTTCGTTGATCACTTCGATCAATCACTTCGATCAATCACTTCGATCAATCACTTCGATCAATCACTTCGCTGAATCACTTCGTTGAATCACTTCGATCAATCACTTCGATCAATCACTTCGATCAATCACTTCGATCAATCACTTCGCTGAATCACTTCGTTGAATCACTTCGATCAATCACTTCGATCAATCACTTCGATCAATCACTTCGCTGAATCACTTCGATCAATCACTTCGCTGAATCACTTCGTTGAATCACTTCGCTGGCTCGTCCAAGCATGAACACACTGTTGTTCATGCTTGGACGAGGTTATCGATGAGTTTTTGATGTGCCAAGCTGCAACATCGTTGAGCTAGGTACTAATCAATTGGTGTGAACGGTCGATTTCCCTGGTACTGATCAATTGGTGTGAACGGATTTCCCTAGCAATTTCTCGATAGCTGTCCCCAACTTGATCCATCGATTCAACTTGATTCTGTTCCCAACTTGATTCATCGCTTCGATCTTCCCCTTTTCTTTATCGATTGCTTCCTAAAACATAGTAAAACAAGTCAAAACAAGTAAACTAAACTTCCCAAAGAAAAAATCAATAACCAATTGGGCCTCCCGATCGCTGAATGACTTGAAAGCATCTGTTGTCCATGCTTGGACGATGTTGTCGATAAGTTTTTGATCCACAGTGTGCCAAGCTGTAACAAGAGGTGGCAAAAGCGCCCCTAGTTGGCGGGCGGGCAAGATTTTGATCTTTGCAATTTGAGCAGTGAATTTGTGCAAAATTATACAAAGAAGCGGGGCGAGCTTGAAAAAAATGAAAAATTATATCTAGGAAGGGGGGGGAGAGCGATTGGGTCTTATTTCTGCCTTTATAGGAAGGGGCGGAGAATTTTTAGAGGGTGAGGACAGAGGACGGTGAGGTAGGGACTAATCAATTGGTGAGGGACAGAGGACGACCTCTTTTGCCAGCTCTGGCTGCAACATCGTTGAGCTATTGTTGAGCTACTAATCAATTGGTGTGAACGGTCGATTTCCCTGGTAATGATGAATTGGTGCAAACGGATTTTCCTGGTAATTCGATGGCTGTCTCCAGCTTGATTGATCATCCCGTAAAGTTGTTTCCTTTTGGCATCACTAAAATCAAGAGATTTCTTTTGAAAACAGCACAGAAAATAAAGAAAAACAGAAAAGAAAGTAAAATTTAACTGGTCATAAAATTCTAACTTTCTGGAAGCGGTTTTTTAATAGAAAGGTTTAGGCTTATGTTAGGCTAGGCTTAGGCTAGCTTAGACTAGCTTAGGCTAGGCTAGACTAGCTTAGACTAGCTTAGACTAGCTTAGACTAGCTTAGGCTAGGCTTAGGCTAGGCTTAGGCTAGGCTAGGTTTGGGCTGGGCTTAGGCCGGCTTAGGTTAGCTTAGGCTAGGCTAGGCTAGGCTTGGGCTAGGCTTAGGCTAGCTTAGGCTAGCTTAGGCTAGGCTAGGCTAGGCTTAGGCTAGGCTTAGGCTAGGCTTAGGCTAGGCTTAGGCTAGCTTAGGCTAGGCTAGGCTAGGCTTAGGCTAGGCTTAGGCTAGGCTTAGGCTAGCTTAGGCTAGGCTAGGCTAGGCTTAGGCTAGGCTTAGGCTAGGCTTAGGCTAGGCTTAGGCTAGCTTAGGCTAGCTTAGGCTAGGCTAGGCTTAGGCTAGCCTAGGCTAGGCTAGGCTTAGGCTTAGGCTGGCTTAGGCTAGTTTAGGCCAGCTTACGCCAGCTTAGGCTAGCTTAGGCCATCTTAGGCTGGGCTTGGGCCAGCTTACGCCAGCTTACGCCAGCTTAGGCTAGCTTAGGCCATCTTAGGCTGGGCTTAGGCCAGCTTAGGCTATCTTAGGCTGGGCTTAGGCTAGGCTTAGGCTGAGGCTTAGACTGGGCTTAAGCTAGGCTTTACTGTAAGTATTCTATATTGATTTTTGATTTCAGGGTTATTTCTAGATATTAACAGATTTAAAATCCATCATAAAACTAAAAATAATCAAAAAATTTGTGTCCAGTGGCGTCGCCGAAAGCAAAAAACGCAGCGAAAGGTTTGTTGAGCATTTGAAGAGAGAAAAGCCAAAAATTTGTGTCGTTTTGTGAAGCGTCATGTTTAGATGATAGCTTTATCGCATAGTAAAGAGATAATTCCAAATAATTCAATTTACAGGATGAAGGCTCTGGCTCACCGTTGCCTGATGATGATCCAGGTGAGTGGTCTTGTACTTTGTGGGTGTACTTTGTGCTCAAAAACACACACCTTTTAGTGCCCCTGATTCTTGCTTGAATAGCTGAATCCTTGTAGAAGTTTTCTAGGAAATTCGGGGGCTCAAAGAGAGAATTTAGTGCCCCAGGAAAGGTTTGTTTCGAGCACAAAGTACACGAGAGGTGCTTTGGCAGAAAATCGAGTTTTTACAAAAAAAATAGTCATCTAATCCATAAAACTAATTAGATTTTTGAAAACTACATAAAATTTTAGATATAATATTCAACTTTCAGCTTGATCGGCTCAGCCGTTTTTTTTTAAATCGCATAAAAGACAGACACACACAAACAGACATATTCTCTCTTTTTTATAATACGTAAGACATTAATATCTCTAAAATTACAGTAATCCCGTTTCCAGGAAGTCATCGTGGTCATGCCCGTGTCGTTGAATTGCCCCCAGCTCCAACTCCTCCACCCCCGCCGCCACCGTTGAACGATCTCCGGGAACAGCCACGTAAGCTTTTCTGATAACTCTAAATCTGCCAGGATGATCCCTGGACGTTGGAATACTGTAGAGTACTGTAGACGAGAAGGCCAGGCCAGGCCAGAAGCAAGATCCTGTCTTCTTGCCTTGACAGAAGCCAGATCTTGCCTTGGTTTCTTGACAGAAGCCAGATCCTGTCTTCTTGCCTTGACAGAAGCCAGTTCCTGTCTTGTTGCCTTGACAGAAGCCAGCTCCTGTCTTGCTGTTAGATGACTCAAAGTCTCTGGACTCACCCTACCCACCATGGCCATGGACTGGCTTGGAACATTCTCGTCTACAGTACTCCAACGTCCAGGGATTACTGTAGCTTCTGGTCTGATTCTGTCACTAGAACAATTGCCCAGTTCTGTGCAAGCAAGGCTAGGGCTGTAATCTACAGAAATTCTGACTTAAATCTGTCTTCTGACCGGGCTGAAAAACTCTACAGTACTCTAACGGCCAGAGATTACTGTAGATTTAAGCCTACAGTACTCTAACGGCCAGGGATTACTGTAGGTTTAAACCTATAGTACTCTAGCGATCATTGATCATGATCCAAGCAATTCTGCAGTCTATCCTGCAGTCTATGCTGCTTTTGTCAGCTCTACATTCCTGTTTACAGTATCCCTGTGTACTCGCCTGTCTACAGCACTTTAATGTCCCTGGATTACTGTAGTTTTTGACTTACAGTACTCCAAAAATAGTCAACTAACCGAATCTGAACTCCGGGTGTTCTTTGTGCTCTTTGCAAAAGCACTATTTCTAGCGCACAGAGTTCCTCATTTTCTTCAGCAACGCCTCCCTTTTATAAAGGAAAAACCAAAGACTTCAGTGCACTAGAAACGGTGCGTTTGGAGAGCGTTTGAAAGAGCACAAAGTGCAGGACTTTGTTGTGAACTTTGTCAACTTTATTAACAACTAACGAACAACTTTATTAACAAAAAAAAACGGTACCATAAACCTTTGTCTTTTTATCGTCAAATATTCGCCCCCGCAAAACTACGGTAAACTACGGTAATTTTGTCGTGATTTACAGCTCAACACACAGCATCTTTGGAGAGACATTTCACCGGGGATTCCCTCATTGTCCCCTACGCATTGCGAAGGGTCGACAAACAGCAATTAGGTTTATAGAATGAGAGTTTAGAGAATGGAGTAGCTGGTTTAGAGAATGGATTACTGTAGCTGGTGCTTATTTTAGTCGATTACGGTAGAGATTACGGTAGAGATTACGGTAGAGATTACGGTAGCGAATGAAAAAAGCGACTTCTAGAGCTCTATTCCAATCCGACTCAATTCCAATCTGTTCCCCCTAAACCGTATCTCTTTCTACCGTAATCTTGTCGTGTTTTATCCAATAGACAAATAGATTGAATAAAATAGACAAAATTACGGTAGAAAGTGACACGATTTAGGAAACGGTACTAGATTTGTAACGAAAGCATCTGTGCTCCTTTTGCCGTTGGAAATTTAAGGTTTTTCTTAGCGCCAATCCTTTTATTTTGACTATTTTAATTAGCAAACGATGCAGAATTGAATTTCGCGTCGAATGATACCAAAACCAACTCAAAATATAATACCCATGCAAAGTTATGAGTCGCGAAAGGTTTCTCGTGTTTTTCTCAGCATCAACTCTTCGATTTTAACTATTTTAACTATCATTCGATGCAGAATTGAATTTCGCGTCGAATGATACCAAAACGAGCTCAAAATATGATATCTACGCAAAGTTGTTGGGCTAGAACCTAAACCCCGCCCATAATGCGCGGGACTTAACCTTTCGCGACTCATAACTTTGCATGGATATTATATTTTGAGTTGGTTTTGGTATCATTCGACGCGAAATTCAATTCTGCATCGTTTGCGAATTAAAAGAGTCAAAATAAAAGGATTGGTGCTGAGAAAAACACGAGAAACCTTAAATTGCTAGCAGCAAAAGAAAATCGACAGTTTTCTTCGTTACAAGGCTAGTAAACACCTTTAATGTACCTTTAATGTACTGTAGCTTGTACCGTACGTACTTTAATGTACTGTAGCTTGTACCGTACGTACTTTAATGTACTGTAGCTTGTACCGTACGTACTTTAATGTACTGTAGCTTGTACCGGACGTACTTTAATGTACTGTAGCTTGTACCGGACGTACTTTAATGTACTGTAGCTTGTACCGGACGTACTTTAATGCACTGTAGCTTGTACCGGACGTACTTTAATGTACTGTAGCTTGTACTGGACGTACTTTAATGTACTGTAGCTTGTACTGTACGTACTTTAATGTACCGTAGCTTGTACCGTAGCCGTTTGAACGATCTAGAACTTGATCTAGATCCAAGTAGAACTCTACAAGTACAGGCTACAGTAATCCTATCGTCATCCTTGAATAGTGTACCGTCGTTTTCTCATATGTACTTTGTGCTTAAGCGTAAACGAAACGCTCAAGCATAAAGTACATGACTGTACGTCGTAAGTATCGTAGTCTTTCGATAAATCAACTTACCGTAATCTTTAGATCTGAAGTGTTGTACTGTAAATGTGAAAATAAACGAATTTTTCAAAAAATCCTACAACTTCTTGTTGGAAAGAGCTTAAATAATTAAATAAGCATGGGTTTACTGTAGACAAAAATCCACCATCAACCATCTGGCAATCATTTCTTTTTCCCATTTCAGCCTACTCTTCCTCCAGCCACGCACTCCAAGGCCCCAGAGGCCCAAAAGGCGACCCAGGAGAACCGGGAGTGGTCAGGAATTCAATTCAAATTCATTTCAATTCAATTGCGAATTGTTAAATGGGGAAATTTTTAGTGCACAGTGCAATGTCGAGACGGTAAACAAGGCCAACCAGGCCCTCAAGGACCCGAGGGACCACAAGGAGTCCAAGGGCCACAAGGACAGCAAGGCCCGCCAGGTTGGTGGACAAACATCGAGATTTTATCTTATTCATCTAGCAGCAAGGCGAGAAAAACCTACCTAAAAGCGGGTTTTTCTCGCTGGATGCTTTGCCCTCGTGGTGCAGTCGGCTTATCTACGGCCGCTACGGCCGCTAGCGCGCTTATCTATGGCCCATACGGCTCCGGGTTCGACTCCCGGGTGTTTCACTCAACTTTGATTTTTAGAAATTTTTTGAAAATTACACAACTACTATATAGTTTAGGGTTTTCTAAAGAAGTTTTAGCTTTATTGGTCGAAACACGGCCGAGAAAATGTCCAGATAGACAGACAGACAGGCAGACAAGCAGACAAGGTCTACAGTAATCCTACAAGAGCTACAGTAGTCCTGAAAGGGCTACAGTAATCCTAGAAGGGCTACAATGATCCTGGAAGGGTTACAGTAACTCTAGAAGGGCTACAGTAGTCCTAGAAGGGCTAAAGGAATCCTAGAAGGTCCACGGTTGTCCTACAAGGGCTACAGGAATCCTAGAAAGGCTAAAGTAATCCTAGAAGGGCTACAGTAATCCTAGAAGGACTACAGTAGTCCTAGAAGGGCTAAAGGAATCCTACAAAGGTTACAAAAAGCCTAGAAAGGCTAAAGTAATCCTGGAAGGGCTACAGTAATCCTAGAAGGTCCACGGTTGTCCTACAAGGGCTACAGTACAGGTTCTCTTTTATTTCTAAAAAACCCCAATTAACCCCTGCCTTGTTTTTCCCCCAAAAAATTAACTTGTTTTCCGGTTCCCCCAAAACACAATCATAAAAGGGCCCCCTTTGTTCTTAAAGGGGCCCCAAAAAACCCAGAAGGCCCAGGTTTTCCCCAGGGCCCAAATAACCCCAAGAGGGCCCCCGTTTTCCCAAAAAGGGAGGAGTCCTAGAAGGGCTACAGTAACCCTAGAAAGGCTACAGTAGTCCTACAAAGGCTACAATAATCCTACAATGGCTACAGGGATCCTAGAAGGGCTACAGTAATGCTAAAAGGACTACAGTAGTCGTACAAAGGCTACAGTAGTCGTACAAAGGCTACAGTTATCTTACAAGCTCTCGATCCCGTTTCCAGGCTCGGTAGCCTCAATGAAATGAATCTACTCAAACGCCCTAATCTGTTTCATCTACCCAATCTCTTCTATACAGCCTCACAAACTATTTTATCTATCTAATTCAGCTTCATATCAAATCTAATCCCTAGATCTAATCCCTAGCTCATTGCAGGCCCACCCGGTGCTTCAGTGTCATCGGATGGCCACGGAGGGTCAACAATTCCCGGTCCACCCGGTTCCCAGGGTTCACCCGGACTCCAAGGACCACAAGGAGTACAGGGTAAGTACAAATAAGTACAAATAAGTATTAGATAATGGATACTAGATAATTCTAGGACCTCGCGGAGATCCTGGGTTACCCGGCCGAGATGGGCGCTCATTCGAGCGACTTTCCGAGGAGGATTACGAGCGGATAATTGGAGATCCAAGGATAAAAGTAATATAGAAAATCAAGAAAATCAAGAAAATCAAAGATAGATTTTAAAATAAATAGATTCTTTATAGGATTCTTTATAGGATTCTTTATAGGATTCGTTTTCAAATCATTTTCATATTTAGGGTGAAAAGGGGGAGTGTTTAAGCTCGAATTCGATTGATTTGCCCGTCTATAATCCGAAAATGCACAACCAATTGGGCAAGGTATTATTAGAGATTCGATTTTAAGGAAGATTTTTGGAAATTCCAGGGTCAAAAGGGTGATCGAGGCGATCCGGGAGCGCCTGGTCAACCCGGAAACTCTGCACAG